CAGGTTGGCGCTGGGCTCCCAGGGCCTTTGGGTCTTCTAGCCTCACTTGTGCAGGGGCTCGAGGTGCTGCCTTCCTGGGGCTCCCCTAGAGCACTGTAGCTGATTCTGAAAATGGGCTGGACCCTGCAGCCTCCCCTCTGGGTGAGGGACACTACCTCTCTGTGCAGCAGCTCTTCCTCGCCCGTACTGGCTCCTTCTGGAAGGGTCGGCCCTGGGGAAGCCTCCTCCAGGCCCCGCGTGGCCTGGCAACCGGTCGGCATTCGTAGCTCAGAGCACACAGGGTGGGCATTTGGGGGTGGCCAAATGAAGGGGCCGAGGCCAGAGCCCCCAGTTGCACCTCCTTTAGCATCTGCCGTGGTGGAGTCCCGTTCCGTGGCTGGAGCACCCCATGTACCGGATTTGGTGGCCTCTTGTTTGTGTCGCTGGCACCACTTTGTGACCCTGTGCTTGGCCCTTCCTGTACTGAGTTTGACTTGGAGGGTGGAGTCCCTTTCAGCTGGTAGAGGGCAAGGGAGCTTGGCCTGGGCCTGACTGCCCTGCCCCTCTGCCCTACTCAAGTCCTCTGCGGACTGCCCCTTCTCCTTGTTAAAATCTTTCTTCCGCCTGGTAGGAGAAGGGGTTCCTGATTCTCTTGAGCCTATGTTTCCTAGGGCTTGGGGTGGCTCATGGCCCCAGCCCCTGCCTCGTTTCCCAACTCTCCTGCTGCAAGCTGAGGACTCTCCTTTGGTAGAGGCTGGTTTTCAGCCTCAGGACATGTGGCCTGATCGCATACTTCTTCCCCGTTACCATGGCCTGACAGTCGCCTGCGCTTCAGGAGTGGTGCAGCCCTTTCCTGGATGGTCTGGGTGCTGTTGTCATAACATGGCCCTGCCTGCTTAAAGACCTGAGGTATGGGAACAGTGGTTTCTGCTACTACTGGGCTGTCATAGTCCCTGAGGCCCTTTTCTGCATTCATCTGCTTCTCCTTCATCACTGCCATGGTGACCTCCAACTCTTCTTCATCTCTAGTGAGCTTCATTAACTCCAGAAAAGTGGGAGGACACCCGCGCTTATCAAGGAGCTGAAGCTTGCCCCGGAGGCTGGTGTTCATATTGGCCCGGGTTAGGACGTGCTTTAAGCGAATCAAGTCAGTGCTTCTCATTGACATGGGGTTGTGCTGCACAGCTTTCTGCAGCAGGGGCTCTAAACGTAGCAAAAAAACAGACATTTTCTCTCCAGACAGCTGAAAGCTCTGGAGGAACCTATACTGTGAGGTTCTAAAGTCCTCTTTATTCCCAAAGATCTGCTTCAGGGCATCCAGGCACTGCTCCACAGTAATGGAGTCATTGCCAGCCTTGAGCATCCTTATGATGGACAGGGCGGGGCCACGTAGGCTCTCCAGCAAACGGCGCCTCTTTTCTACCTCAGCCACTTGCCATATCTTCATAATCTCCGTGACCTGCTCTAGCCAGGCTTCAAAGTTCTCTTCACCTGGGCCTGGGAAAGTGTTTCCCGAAAACACTTTGAGTTTTCGGTACCACATGCTTTCTTTCAGAGGCTGCCAATTTATCGGCTTGTGTTGGGAAGAACCCTCTGGCTCTACACCCTCAGTGACAGTGCTATACCCCAGGACTCTGGGCACATCTACCATTCTCCGGCCCTCATTCTTCAGGAAGTAACTCAGTCTAGTGATGAATTCATCATCTGGGTTACGGGGTTTTACCACCACTTCCCAGGCACCTCCGTTTCCTGGTATCTCACTGGGTATCGTAGCGAAATTGACAAAGTCAGACAATTCGACAAAGATGGCCTTAGCACTGTCTTCCCTTCTGAACATTCTGCCCACCACCCTGTAGGTGCACAGGGCATGTAAGCCTGCCTTTATGGTCTCTTTAATTTCAGCCTCACTACACTCCACGGGGATCCCCACAATCAGCAGGGCCTTCCTGGGGTCCACGTCCATCCCCTTGCACCAATCCTCTAACAGTGCCACAGCGGACATTGCTTCCACTTTCTATGAACGGATCTAATACTAGGGGTAGTAATCTGCTCACAGAGTTTGACCACAACCTAGTTAATTCTGAGCCAATGCCAAGCACAAAGGCAGAAGTGTCCCAGGTTTCCACAGCCTGTAATACAAATGGGGTGAAAGCATCATTATTGCCAAGTCCCCCTATCAAGAGCCCCTTTTCTTCTCCCACCTCCACTCACAGGAATTCAGTCCCTGCTTCCCAGGGCTCCCCTAGTCATTTGGTGGAGTGCAGACTGTAGAAGGGTCTCCCCAATCCAAGCTCCCCCCACCTCATCCTCTCCCTGCTGACCTCCTCCAGCTGTGGGTTCCTCCTCAAAGTCCGAGAACTCTGCTGTATGTGCTGCAGGTGCCTGTAGTGAAAAGGCCAGCGTCAGGAGGCACGGCCTGATGACTGGGGACACTGACAAAGCCCTCTAAGCAACAGAGGACAGGAGAACGTCCTACTCCCTGGCTCAGGGCTGTGCAGGCCCTGGGCACCTGGCACCCTCTTTGCCAGGGCAAAGGCGGGAGGAGGGAGACGGAGAGTTCCACTCTGTGTCAGAAAATACCCGACAGATGAGAAAGATGGCTGGAATTCTGCGCAATGCAATGAAACTGGTGGGTGTGGAGAGCCTGTGACAAGCTGCAGTGTTGCCATGGATACCAAGAACAGCGTGGACCATGGGTTTCTATCACAGACTGGTGTCATGTGGTAAGGTTAAGGCCCTCGAGGAGCAACAGGTGATGTCACCAGCCTCCAACCAATGAAGTGTCCTAGTAACACGGGGGGGGGGGGGGAGTGGGAGGGTTGGGGTGAGGGTAGACGGGATGGGCAGCAAGGATAGAATGTTTAAAAATCAAGAGCTTATGATTTTAAAATGTGTGGGAGCTAGAACCAGGCAGAAAGGGGACCCAGAAAAGGCCGCCAGTGCCACGCTTCAGGAGACAGGCAACTCTCTCCCTAGGTATGACCCTACCCTGCAGAGTCTGTACACCTTGGCAGGCAGCTCCTCCCCCTCTGCTCTTTGCCGGGATTACAGAGGCTCCTCCCAACATAGGCTCCCCTCGCTACGGCTCACCTTGCTGAGTAGGACCCTCTGGCGGTGTGGATACCGGGATGCCACAGGCACTCAACACTCAGTCAACGCTCTAGCTCTGTCCACAGTCAGGCAGTTCCTGGCCCCAGGGTGTATGGGGGGGTTGCTGTTCCACTGGACCTGTCCCCAAGACAAGACAGACTTATTTTGATAAGGTTCTGCCCCACGTGCCCCTGCTCAGGCTGTGCCAATTCTAAGTCTGCAGAGCTGTCCACAGGTGCCCTGGTGCAGGGATACAAGAAAATTGTCACTGGGGTCCATTGCTATAGCAGTAATCCCACTTTAAGGTTATTACTCCCACCCTCAATTCCATACCCCCACTCACACCCACTCACTGCCAAGTCACGCTCCTTTCCAAGTTTTGCGCCCATTGAAGCTCAGCCTCTGATCCAAGCGCCCCCACCAAGCCCCGCCCCTGGCACCAAACTCCACCCCTACAGCTCAATCCCAGCCCCCACCCAAGCCCTTTCCCGCACCTAAACACAACTCCTATTCTTTTTCTCATTCCCCTATGCTCCCCACCCCGACCCTATACCCACTTCCCTAAGACTCCCCCACACTCCTTACACACCCGCTACCTCAGACACCCCCCATTCTGCAGCAGGAATACGTGTGTGTGGTCAGTGGATGTTGGCGGAGGCCAGGAGAGGAAGGGCTGAAGCCACTTTTCTTCCAGGGCAAGGCCGAGAGCCATTTTTTCTGGATATGCAGACAGCAACGGCTCTGGGCAGGGTTAGGCATGAAATAGGTTCCTCTGAAGCTCACTGGCCATGCCTGTAAATGGCAGAGAGCCCACAGGGTGCCAGGCCTGATCTAGTAAGATCCTACTTTGAGGGGAAACCTACAGACACCGGCCCTTCTGACACCAAGGAAGACGGCAAGGGTCATTGGGGAGCATGTCCTGCGGTTTGGGTTGCTCTCTGTGCCCAGGGCCTCACTCCTTACCTACTGGAGATACCGGCAGGCCAGAACGCCACAGCACCGCAGCCACCACGCTTCCACCACTCTGGTGCAGACTAAGCCAGGGGCTGCTGGGAGGAAGAGGCTGGTCAAATAAGAAAAATGGCGCTCCCGCCAACTGCACACGGCCCGCTTGTGCATGCGCGCCATCGCACAGTGGTACCCCCCTCCCCCCTAAAAAAGGGGGCTCCTTGCTTCAGCCTTTGCCCCTGTCCCTGATGGCTTGGAAGGGGTGGGAGCAGAGAGTTCAAATCGAGCTAGGAGCGAGTGTACATTGCAGAGCTGACCTGCGTCAGGCCTCCGGGTAGCTTCAAAGAAACCGCCACGCCTGCCACATGGAACGCCAGGCCTCACTTCCGCATTGGAACGCGCTGTGGTGTAACAATCAGCAGTGCCCCCCGCCCCAAATTTGAAAATTGCACGTCATAACAGGGCCGGGTGCAAAAGTAAAGCCTCAGAGGGTGCTTTCTAAATAAAAGTCCTGATCCCTGTTTATTTTTTCTTCGGCTGTGTTCTAAGGGACCATGGCAAAAATACAGCTGCTCCCTGCATTTCCCAAGGGCACGAACATTTTTGGAGTTCACCAAGAGACAGAAAACTATCAAGTATTCCATTCTCCCATTATTCTCTTGACTTCACGAGCAAGTAATTACCCATTACCCACCTAATACACTGCTTCCTGCCCTTTTCTGAAGGTTTCTTCCGCTCAGGGAACATTTGCCCTGGGGCCTGCAGGACCCAAATGTGCTGGTCAGAAATGGGCGTTAGTGGAGCACAGGTAGCACAATGGAAGTTGCTCTTGATAAAAGTGCAGGTCTGCATCGGGAGGACGGCTGAAACCGAAAGCCTGTGTTTCTCGAAAGCTGGGTGACTCCGATGCTGCAGATCCCTGACTAGGCTTAGGGAACCCAAACTCTAAAGCGTGTAATGACTTTTCAGATCCAGGGGGCCTTTGGTGACAAAATAGATTTCTTTTGCTTTATTAGGGATACAAATGAACAGGCTTTTCTATAATGCTTTAATAAAAATATTTAAAGGAAACAAAATTTTAAATGAAAGGTTATTAAGCAAGATGTTTGCAGGCGTCACCCTATTCCCCTTTAACTACAGATGTTTGCTATGTCTTAGAAGGGGAACACAGACCTCAATAGGCCTTACTTAATAAGGATACACTCTTAAGAGTCTGTTAAATCTATTTCCCATGCCAAGAAAATGTGGTTACCTGGTGCTGGCAGAGAGTCCAAGGCCCCAGGTGGGACATTTTACCTGAGGGTTCTCATAATACCAGGTCACTATGGTTCCATGAAACTGCCACTGAGCCACTTGGTATTATAGATATTGCAAGGTATCACAATGGTTGATACCATGGAAAGAGGTGTTCTGGCCCTGTGATCCTGGAAAACTGAAGGTTAAGAAATACCCCCTGAAAACATTTAACATTATATTAGTTTTAGGTGTACAACATGATGCTTCAATTTTTGTATATATTGCAAAATAATCACCCCAATAAGTCTAGTTAACATCCATCATCACACATAGTTATAATTTTTGTTCTTGTGATGAGACTTTTTTTTTTTTTTTTTTTAGCTGAGCCATCCCGCCACCTGTTGGCAGCTCACGGCTGCTCAGCTCAGGCTGACTCGAACCATTGTTGCTCAGAGCTCAAACTCTTTTTTTTTTTTTTAAAGATTTTTATTGGGGAATTGGGGGGATGGGAACAGTGCTGGGGAATTGGGGGAAGGGGAACAGACAAGTTGCTGTCGTTTTGTTCTTCAATCTAGTTGTGGAGGATGTTGCTTCACTGGCCCAAGTTGGCACCATCATTGTGCTCTTCTCTGGCGAGGCGACTCACGGCAGCCCAGCTCCAGGTTGAGCTGTTGTTCAGCATCTTAGCTGTAGAGGGCAGTGTCACTGGCCCTCATATGTGGGATCCGAACCGGGGCCCTCTGGCATCCCAAGCGAGTTCTTAACCATCGCGCCACTCGGCCGGGCCAGAGCTCAAACTCTTGAGCGAGCTCTTAACCAACTGAGCCACTCAGCCAGCCCTGTGATGAGACATTTTAAGATCTGTTCTCTTAGCAACTTCAAATATGCAATACAGTATTGTTAACTTTACATGCTGTACATCACATCCCCAAGATTTATTTATTTTATATGTATTATTTTGTGTGTATGTAATATTTTAAAGTGAACTTATTCTGACAAAACTTTAACAGTAATTATGTTTCCTATGTAGTATGTCAGCCCTAAAGGTTTCAAGATCTTTGGGTAACTTAAAGCCGTATACTAAATTAAGTATATAAGGTATGCAGGATGTGTTTTTGTTAAGGAGAAAGATTAATTTTGTCCTAAAGTAAAATGACTGGCTCGTACAGAATGACAAAGATGAAAGTGTAGGGCTATGGATGAAAAAAGGGGTTCCATGGAAAGTAACCTCACAGGGTGATCTGATGATGAATTCCTTACTGGACAGGTCATGGTGGTAGTCATACCTCAGGCCTAGAACTTCTTTAGTTTCTAAGCAAGCCCTGTGCATTTTTCTTGTCAATCTAGGTTAAAACACCTTTGAAACGCCCCCTTTCAGGCCCCTCAGAAGCAAAACCACTCTCAAGAGAGCACATAATCTTGTTAACGATCCTATAATTTAATCCTGGCCTTGCTTTCTCCCACCTCCATGTAATCTTCCATCGTTCCCTCTTTAATTTCAAATGCATAAAAGAAGCTGCAAAATTGTTATTCTCTGGAGCATTTGAGATCTTGCTTCCTGGCATATGTTGTCAGATTGGCTCAAATAAACTCTTATAAAAATCATCTACAGGTTTGGACATTTTTGTATGCCAACAGGACAAAACCTGAATGAAAATGAAAGTTGTAGAAGGTTCGTGTCGGGTCCGAGGGTGTCAATCAGGGACCATCTCGGTGGTGAGATGCCCAGCTGAAAGAAGGCATGAGGCAGACCGTGTGCCATAAACGCAGCAACAGCTCTTTATTGATCCAAGACCAGGGCCAGAGAGAGCCCCAAAATGGGAGCAGAGTTTTATACCCTCATACGAACAACAGGTACATGGTGCCAGCACACATGCTTAAGAAGGAAACTTCGAAGAAATTAACAGAACAGGATAACAGGAAATGTACATCAGCAAGCTGTTTTGCTCCCCTCTGTCCTACCCAAGGGGGAGGGACAGGCCGGTCTCCAAAGCCTGTAAACAGTTTCTAACTGGGAGGCCCTAATGCCTGGGCCCCACAGTTCGTAGAAAAAAAATTTATTTCTTGTGGTCATAACTGGCTAAGGTTCAATGGGCTTATTTATGAGCTATTTTAAAATGAGCTGTAATATTAAATAGTACACTGATGGAAAACTAGAATTTGATTTTCTCTGTTAAAATGGAAAAAAAATCTTAAAT